TGGCGGTAAGAGATTTGCGGACAATGAAGAAGTAATCGAAGCTGTAAATGGTTATTTTGAGGAGCTTGACGAATCAGTCTATAGAGATGGCATTAATAGACTGGAACACCGCTATGAGAAATGTATCAGCCTTGGAGGAGATTATGTTGAGAAATAAAAAAAAAAAATTTTTAAAAACCTTGTTTTTCTTGGTCAGGCCGGAAACTTATCAATCCACCCTCGTATATCACTAATTTCATATGAAAAAGCATTAAAGCCAAGTTTCAGGTAAATCTGACTATAAATAAAACACCATACTAAACCATAGACAACATTACGTTTAGGTGTCAGTTGGGGTTTGTTATTCCATGCCAGTTACGTTTTGTTATACCATTTTTAACAAATGAACGGCGAGACTGATGATTTGATTTATAAATTTTTCATTTTGCTGTCATTTGCGTTTTGTCATTCCATGTCAGTTGCGTTTACATATACCACGTTTTTCTCGTGGAACGTGATAAAAAGTATCCTATGTCCTTCTTCCGGTTGTAGGCTACCTCCCCACCAAGTTTCAGCCAAATCGGTTCAGCCGTTTTTGAATTATAAATAGTGTAACTAAGACGACTTTCTTATATATATATATGNTAGTATTAGATCGTATTCTGCATAGTGTATTATTCCTGTAAAGGATTTTTCAATTGATATCAATTTTTTCCAATATTACTTTTTTTCAACATTAAGTCTGCACTTACTGTTTATAACTTAATCCTCTTTCTAAAGGACATCTTAGTACATATAGTTCCTATAATTATAAATCAAATTTGACTAAATGTATCAAAGGGTTCGTTACTTCCACCTACAAATATGTTTTTCTAACCACACATATAAGCTCCTCTAATAGTTTTGCGAAGAGTGTAACATTTATCAGATGTAACGGAATGGAGTGGCTACAACAGAGGAACTATACCTTCATACTTTATTCAATTTCTGCTTATTCATAATTGCAACAAAATTTAAATTAATAGTGCAATAAGTTTTGGAGCTACTAAGATTTAAACATTTTCTTTCATTCCAATCTTCTCAATACCAATCCTAAATATATAATGAATATTTTAGACTACGATTCTTCCAATGATGCAATTGTTTGGATTCATTTTTCAAGAAAAATTAGAATCAATTGGTTTGTCAGCAACTGACATCTCAGTTATAATTAACACAAATCAGGCGTTTGGAATGCTTATGGGTTTAGTGAATGGAGTTTTATTGAAAAAAATGGGATACAGAAAAGTTGCAGGTATATCTACTCTTTGTACGACAACTGGAATCATTCTTACAGGCTTTTCAAATAGTTTCATCGCCTTTATTTTCACTTACGGAATTCTATGTTGTAAGTTTTACACAAATGTTACAATAAAAGTAATTTTTACTGGTTATATCAGATTATGAAAAAGATTTATTAAAACATTTGTGGCATCTCTTTTTCGCAGCGTTAGGATGTGGAATGGGAACTTCAGCATATACCTTAGCATTAAATACGTATTTTCTAAAAAAGAGAAGCAAAGCTCTGGGAGTTGCTTTGTCTGTTTCTGGTCTAGGACCTATTTTTATGCCACAATTAGTCACTTATTTATTAAATAATTATGGTGTGAGNTATTAACCAAAAACCATAAGGGATTAGTGATAGTAGAGTTAAGAATGCAAAAAAAAAACAAAGTTGAGGAGGTAGCAAAGATAGTTGAAAAATTGTGTAAAGTATGTAGGACACCTACCTTCCTTTCCCGAACATTTGTAGGACGTGAGAGGTAGGGATATTAAACCACTAGCAAGTAGTAGACTCTGCTTGGAAACAAAGGAAATGAGAAAATAGATTAAAAAAGTATATGACACAGCAAGAATGCCAAGTACCACTCAGTCATTGGATTCTAACACTGACGATATCTATCTCCGAGAAGTCTTTAAGTGTTGATCCATGTCCTGAGAAGATATGATGAGATGGTGGTAAGATAATTTCTAATAGCAGCCAGGCTCTTTTCTATTCCTCTTATATGATATGCGTCGATCTACCGGTAGAGTAAAATTGCTCAATTGTTGTCACTGGTCACATTGATAATTACTTTAACGGTTTTATAAGCAGACATTCTTCTATTTATTGCCCCTTACATATAAATAAACATTTAAACAGAATACATCTTTTTATAATTCCTATATACCTAAGAATAGATAAGTAAATTATCGATTACCTGGTTCTCTCCTGAATTTTACAAATAATCTAGGCAATACTGCGGATTGCTGTACATAATTAGAAATTATACATGTGTAGTGTTTATCAATTTCAATGTTGTATACTAGTCAACTGCATGTATTACTTATTAAGTAAGTTCAAATACGTACAAGCCCATATTGTAAATGACAATAATTCCTAATCTTTTTTTATTTTTTGTAGAATAGTCCGATATGAAATAAGGTCATCGATTACTGTCATACATTCACACGGTCTATTACTACTTAAAACTTATAAACAAAATATTCAACTTTAGTAATATAAATGAAATCGAACTGATTCAGAAGTGTTTATTAAAGTAGGGTTTTATCAAGACGACGATGTATTAATACGTTATTAAATCTCACACTTGCCTTTCTTATCGCTTATATCTCATCGTCAGATAAAAGAAGTAAAATGAAGTGACGTTCCTTTGGAAAGGTTGCCTGGAGCATCAGGAATCCAAATGGTGGTTAATGGAATACTATTCCTAATAGGAGGTCCATTTTTAGGTACGAGTGTGAAATTCTAAAACTTCTTTGAAAAGATGAAAACCAATTATTATTAGTGATGGGCAAAATTGATCTTGGTGTTGCAGTCTTAGTCTTGTGAAAGTGCTAAATCAAAATCAAGACCGTTTTTATACTATTAAAACTAAGATCACGGTCGGGCGAACAAAATCTAGACTACAGCCAAGATCGAAAATATGCAAGACTAAACAAAAAATTATTACTTCCTGTGGAATTATGTTAAACTAATTGAAGTAATTTTAATATATTCTTTTTTTGGAACAAAACGTTTGGTTTTCAGTATTTGAAACAGTAAGTTTTCTTTCTTTCTAGGTCTGGATAACACATGGCTGAAATAATTTTTTGTTAATATTGTAATATTCGGAGATGTAACAAAATTACTTCTAAGACTGATAACAACAAAAACTATTTATTTGCACTAATTATTTATTAAAGACACTATTAAATCAGAACGCAGATACGACACACGTCTACAAATACGGTATGCATGAAGAAAGGCACCCGCGGCTAATCGGCGAATCGATAAGCCGTTCACGCACACGTGTGCCCGATCGCACACAAACAGACTCGTGCTAGCTAAAAAGTATTTTTACTTCTTTCAAGTACCTTGTACTATTTTGTCCAGAAAATTTCAGCATTTAAGACAATTATTGTGTCGATAAAGAAACTTATACTTAAAAGAATTATTAAGAAAACATAAGTATTAGATTAAATGAGTAACACCAAGACTTAACACGCAAGACTAGGACTGTCTTGGTCTTGGTCTTGCTTTGCTGATCACTAATTATTATTGGCATTTTAAATGTTTCAGACAAAGTTATTACTAAAGTGTCTACTTGGCCAATTGAATCTATGTGACGACTCGAATCGAAACTACCAGTCGTGGTTCGCGATTTCGATCTTATTGTAAATCGTTAGAAATACTTCAGCAAATATTACCAGATGACAATATATTGCCATAACTCGATATTATGTATATTCACATGCTTATATCATGGAGCACCTTGGGTTTCGTCGGCGTGCTCATGAGATCAAATAAAATAGAAATCACGTTCAACGTCCGGTTGTTTCGATAAATTATTGATCAAAAACTTAATCGATTCCTAATACAGAATACAAAATTCTATTTCACAGGTTTCATCAAGGATGTAACTGGCACTTATAGAAAATGTGTTGTCTTGATGAACTTGATGACAGTTCTAACACTTGTAATGTGGCTTATTGAGATGATAATTATTAAAGTGAGGACTACAAGAAAAGTTGGCTACTCTTAAAACGCTAAATCAGTTTATAGAAGAATTTTACGTTTAAGGCAAATATCAACATCTGTGATAAGAATATCAGAAAAAATTGCTAACGGCCGCCCTCTGTACTTAAGTTAATTTTGACTTGCTTAATATTTGTTATATTTTGTTGCACTTTATTTATTATAATATAAGCATCCATACTTGCGGTATGATGAAGTAAAAATACATTGATTGTTTAATCGTATATATTTATTTAATATTTTTTTGGTATGTTAACGGAACTCAAAGAATCAGGCTCGACCTGATGGAAGGGGCTTCACGAAAATTTCTAATACCAGTTTCATATAATCGCTAAATTTCTCTTCGCTGCTGGATCTGGACCTCCAAAGAAGCTCGCCCCTCGTGCTAGCGAAACGTTAGGAAGTAACTCCAACCAACGACGGTCTTTAGGCCCAAATCAGAACAGCAGCAGTTCATGCTGTTTTATGTTTGCATGGATGGTAGCAATCACTATTAACCAAAAACCATAAGGGATTAGTGATAGTAGGGTTAAGAATGCAAAAAATAACAAAGTCGAATAGGTAGCAAAGAGAGTTGAAAAATTGTGCAAAGTATGTAGGACAACTACCTTCCTTTCCAAAACATTTGTAGGATGTGAGAGGTAGGGATATTAAATCACAATCAAGTAGTAGACTATACTTGGAAACAATGATAACGTCCGTTTGAGCATCAGGAAATTAGAAAATGGATTAAAAAAGTATATGACACAGCAAGAATGCCAAGTACCACTCAGTCATTGGATTCTAACACTGACGATATCTATCTCCGAGAAGTCTTTAAGTGTTGATCCATGTCCTGAGAAGATATGATGAGATGGTGGTAAGATAATTTCTAATAGCAGCCAGGCTCTTCTCTATTCCTCTTATATGATACCGGTAGAGTAAAATTGGTCAATTGTTGTCACTGCTAATGACATTGATAATTTATTTTATAAGTAGGCATTCTTCTATTTATTGCCCATTACATATAAATATAAATAAACATTTAAACAGAATACATCTTTTTATAATTCCTATATACCTAAGAATAGATAAGTAAATTATCGATTACCTGGTTCTCTCCTGAATTTTACAAATAATCTAGGCAATACTGCGGATTGCTGTACATAATTAGAAATTATACATGTGTAGTGTTTATCAATTTCAATGTTGTATACTAGTCAACTGCATGTATTACTTATTAAGTAAGTTCAAATACGTACAAGCCCATATTGTAAATGACAATAATTCCTAATCTTTTTTTATTTTTTGTAGAATAGTCCGATATGAAATAAGGTCATCGATTACTGTCATACATTCACACGGTCTATTACTACTTAAAACTTATAAACAAAATATTCAACTTTAGTAATATAAATGAAATCGAACTGATTCAGAAGTGTTTATTAAAGTAGGGTTTTATCAAGACGACGATGTATTAATACGTTATTAAATCTCACACTTGCCTTTCTTATCGCTTATATCTCATCGTCAGATAAAAGAAGTAAAATGAAATGAAGTGTCACTATGTAACAACTGTTTGATGGAAATTTTATAAATTAATTGAGTGATGCCGCAAAAAAAATTAGAACCCCCGGATGGAGGTTGGGGATGGATGATCGTTGTTGCGTTTTCTATAAATTACGTGAGTATTTTTTTAAGTTATCCTAAATGTGGGTAATCTAAACTTCGAATCGATTGATTTATAATGAAATTTAATGTGAAAAACGGACCAAGTTCGGCACAGACGGAAGTTGCCTTTGACGATAAATGAGTTGCGGTCTGAACGCACATCAAATTCCATTCAAGATGTATTCAAATTGCATTCTTGGATATTGATTTTATAACTTGGCAATTTTTATATTTATTATATTAAACGTAATATTTATTGATTTTATTAATCTTTGTCAAGCTATAATTCTTGTATCGGGAATCTCCGAGAAATCGATTGGACTCCATTCCGGGAAATTCAGCTTGAAAAAAGTGGATGACGGGAAATTTGAATTGAAATTGTAATAAGTACTCCATTTTCGACTATTTTGCAGTTTAGATCTTTTGACAGAGCGGCAATAATACAGTTAGAGCTAGAGTACTGCTTTATTTACTAAAGTAATTACTTCATTGTTATTGTTCTTATTATATTAACCGTTCTCACAGAAATAGTACTAATTACTCATTTAAAGGTGAAAGAGATACTTAATAGTAGGTAGTAGAGATACTAATAGATAATAGAAAAAGAATTTATTCTGAACCATTTGACCAAAGTTAGCCATCCCTCTTCACACCTGGATCATCCCTCTTCATATTTATAACTTCATCTTCACGACTAAAGGCCAAAACTAAAAACAGAAAGATATTCTTTATCTTACCAAGTTAATAAAAGCGCTTATATGCGCCTCTAGGACACCACCCAGAAGTCAATCTTTCGAGGGTTTAACACCTGAAGGTGTCACGCGGAACAGCAATCCCAGGGTACTTAATAATCACATTATTTTCCCACGTTGCGGTAGAACATCAATCACTAGATAGATTAATAAACAGTTACAATTATAATTATAAGAGGGGCCGTCAATCTCCTTTCGTATAATCTAAGGAGGAACATCAATCTCCTTCACACAAATATGAGCTCATATTTAACGAATCAAATATAAATTCATTACTCACAACGTAATTCTCCAATAATCCTTAATTCTCACAAAATCTCACAATGCCTTGTGTCGTCCCGAACCTCGCCGTTCATGAGCCTTTCGTCCAAATATAAACAAACTTTACATTTATAAACAGAGTCGAGAGCGTTAAAATAGATGGATTTTTATTAAAACGATTTTTACACAACAAATATTGAAGTATTTAAACATGTTTAAAAAAAAGAAAGAATATATTATTATTATAACGTATAAGACAGGAAAAGAATAGTAAAAAATTGAAATTTTGAAATAATTATAATAATAACAATCTATTTGACAAATTGGTAAAAGATGCCTTGATTCGGGTATCTGTTAGAGTTGCTTCCTAACTCTTCGCTAGCACGAGTGGCTTCAAAGGTCTTTCCATTTCCGATGTTCCATGTGGATCCCAAGTCCAACCTAAGAGGGCCTTTAGGCCCGAATCAGGACAGCCTCAGTTTAACAATCTTTTTATTTTTTCATCGTCAATATTTCCTGCTTCGGAAAGTATTCNTCCAAAGAAAGCATCCTAATATTTACTGTCTTTAAGGTGCGGTCTGAACGCACATCAAATTCCATTCAAGATGTATTCAAATTGCATTCTTGGATATTGATTTTATAACTTGGCAATTTTTATATTTATTATATTAAACGTAATATTTATTGATTTTATTAATCTTTGTCAAGCTATAATTCTTGTATCGGGAATCTCCGAGAAATCGATTGGACTCCATTCCGGGAAATTCAGCTTGAAAAAAGTGGATGACGGGAAATTTGAATTGAAATTGTAATAAGTACTCCATTTTCGACTATTTTGCAGTTTAGATCTTTTGACAGAGCGGCAATAATACAGTTAGAGCTAGAGTACTGCTTTATTTACTAAAGTAATTACTTCATTGTTATTGTTCTTATTATATTAACCGTTCTTACAGAAATAGTACTAATTACTCATTTAAAGGTGAAAGAGATACTTAATAGTAGGTAGTAGAGATACTAATAGATAATAGAAAAAGAATTTATTCTGAACCATTTGACCAAAGTTAGCCATCCCTCTTCACACCTGGATCATCCCTCTTCATATTTATAACTTCATCTTCACGACTAAAGGCCAAAACTAAAAACAGAAAGATATTCTTTATCTTACCAAGTTAATAAAAGCGCTTATATGCGCCTCTAGGACACCACCCAGAAGTCAATCTTTCGAGGGTTTAACACCTGAAGGTGTCACGCGGAACAGCAATCCCAGGGTACTTAATAATCACATTATTTTCCCACGTTGCGGTAGAACATCAATCACTAGATAGATTAATAAACAGTTACAATTATAATTATAAGAGGGGCCGTCAATCTCCTTTCGTATAATCTAAGGAGGAACATCAATCTCCTTCACACAAATATGAGCTCATATTTAACGAATCAAATATAAATTCATTACTCACAACGTAATTCTCCAATAATCCTTAATTCTCACAAAATCTCACAATGCCTTGTGTCGTCCCGAACCTCGCCGTTCATGAGCCTTTCGTCCAAATATAAACAAACTTTACATTTATAAACAGAGTCGAGAGCGTTAAAATAGATGGATTTTTATTAAAACGATTTTTACACAACAAATATTGAAGTATTTAAACATGTTTAAAAAAAAGAAAGAATATATTATTATTATAACGTATAAGACAGGAAAAGAATAGTAAAAAATTGAAATTTTGAAATAATTATAATAATAACAATCTATTTGACAAATTGGTAAAAGATGCCTTGATTCGGGTATCTGTTAGAGTTGCTTCCTAACTTTTCGCTAGCACGAGTGGCTTCAAAGGTCTTTCCATTTCCGATGTTCCATGTGGATCCCAAGTCCAACCTAAGAGGGCCTTTAGGCCCGAATCAGGACAGCCTCAGTTTAACAATCTTTTTATTTTTTCATCGTCAATATTTCCTGCTTCGGAAAGTATTCATGCGCTGTAAACAAAGCAAGCTTGGAAAGGCCCGAAAAATCAAATTCGAGAATTCTTAGGACCCGAACAACGGAAAACCTTAAAAAATCGCAAAACTTATTTGTGTACTAGACATCCGTTTAGATTTCAAATCATTTATTGCTAGCAAAGTTGACAATCCTGAAAATTGAAAAATTATATGGAAAGATAATAAAACTAATTTAGTAACAGTTGATAGAGTCATTTTAAAAAGTACAATACGACGATTATTTCTTTTCTCTAACGTTTGTTATAAAAAAATTGATAAAAGACGACATCAAGTATTTAATTATCACCTGTCTACCGTATATAGTCATAATAATTAACTACTAATTAACTTCTTATCTCGTAATATTATCATTAATTGATGCCATGTAGGTTACTTGTTTAAAAAAAGAAAGAACAGAAAATTATAACTTATAAGGCTAAGGAAAAGAATGATCATCATAAGGTCGACAGTCCTAAGACTGGTTGGACACGTACCTCCACTCTTTCCTATCCTAAGCTAATCTTCGCATATCCCTAAAAATGGAACATCTTACATCTTTAACTATTTGTGAACAGTAATCTAATCTAGGTCTACCTCTACTCCTCCTAACGCCTGTTTCTGCTTGTAATACGTCTCTGACTAGGCCTCATGCCTGAGAAGGTGTCCTACCAACCTATCTCGCCTATTTCTTATTGACTTCCATAGAATCATCTGTTCTCCTATTCTTTCTGATACCTCTTCATTTCTAACCTTCTCTATCCTCATCATTCGCCTATAACATCACATTTCGAACGCTTCTAACCTTCTCTTTTCCGTTACGACCACTGTGCATGTATCGCATCCGTACACTCGCGCTCCAAACATACACCTTTAACAACCTTTTTAGAATTTCTAAATTAACCGTTCGCGAGCATAGAAGTGACTTCTTATTATTGAAGGCGACTCGACCCTGCGCTATCCACTGCTATATATCCCTACTTCTTCTTCTCTCCTGACTTATCTGACTTCCTAGATACCTAAAATCAGTCACTTCTTCTAATTTTTCGTCACTTATTTAATATTCGCTCTTTCTTTACTTTTTCCTCCCTTGCAAACCAGTATTTTTGTTTTACCTTTATTTATTTTCATATAATACCGTTTTGTCAGCTCTTCCATTTTATTTAAATCTATCTATTTCTTGCTAAATGCTAATAGTGCTGTATCAATTCCAAAGAAAGCATCCTAATATTTACTGTCTTTAATGTTGTTGATACAAACCCTATGTGCGCACTATTTCCTTTTTCTATCGTTTTCTCTATTGTTACCTGTAAAGCTGTAATGACTTCCCGCGTTCCTCTATTTCTTCTAAACCCAAACTGATCTTCCCTCTGGAAATTCTTCAAGTTAAGCTAATTGTTCTAAATGTCTCGCACCTATTCGAGCCTCTCTTTTTAGGTATGTTTACTACTATGTTCTGATTATAATCCTCTGGGACTTTTCCAGTCTAAATGTGTCTAACTAGCTTAAACATACGACCTCTAACCTCTTGTCTTGCAATAAAGTGAGATTTTGAAATGATTATAATAATAATAATAGAAAGGAATAGTAAAAAACATTTTGAACTAATTATAGTAATAATAATACTCTATACTCTGTGAGGTAACAATCTATTTGAAAAATTGGTAAAAAACTATCCTGATTCAGGTTTAAAGGCCGTCATCGGTTGGAATTGCTTCCTAACGTTTCGCTAGAACGAGTGGCGAGCTTCTTTAGAGGTCTTTCCATTTCCGATGTTCTATGTGGATCCCAACTCCAACCGAAGACCGTCTTTAGACCCGAATCAGGACAGTATCAGTTTAACAGTCTATTTCTTTTTTCATCGTGAATGTTTTCTGCTTCGGAAAGTGTACATTCGCTTTCAAATCAAATCAAGTTCGAGAATTTTTGAGACCCGAACAACGAAAAACCTTGAAAATCGCAAAACTTATTTGTGTACTAGACATCTGTTCAGATTTCAACCCATTTATTGTTGGCAAAGTCGACAACCCCGAAAATTGAACAACTAGGTGGAATTATCATGAAACTAATTTATTAACAGTTCCAGTTGATAGAGTTCACATTAAGAAGTATAATAGCACAATTATTTCTTTTCTCGAACGTTTGATATGAAAAAATTGATAAAAGAAGACCGCAAGTAATTAATTATCACCTATCTACCGCACTACTGTCATAATAATTAATTACCAACTTCTTATCTCGTAATATTATCATTAATCGATGCCACGTGCGTTACATAATTATTTTAAAGTAAATTTAAAATTATTTCGGGATCCATATTCTTGCCTTGCTCAACAATGAATCAAAAGTTTAAAGTGTTCAAGGTGAAAATGTTATTATTACTCCAAAACCAAACTGACGTTTTGCCCTATGTTGTAAACTTCTTTGAGACTATACTATTACATACGTATAAAAGGCATTGCCGGCTCAGAATTGAATAAAGAGGAAAAAATTATTGTTTCAGAGCATGAGTATTCCGATGATGCAACTGTTTGGGTTGATTTTTGGGCCAAAATTGGAAACTCTCGGCTTATCAGCCACAGATATTTCGATCATTATAAATACAAATCAGGCATTTGGGATGCTAATGGGTTTAGTAAACGGGGTTTTACTGAAAAAGCTGGGCTTTAGAAAAGTGGCGTTCATTGGAAGCTGTTGTGTATCAACAGGAATAATATTATCAGCATTTTCCAGAACATTTGCAACTTTTCTCTTTACTTACGGAATTGTTTACTGTATGTTTATCGAAAGAAGCGTAATCCTGTTACTGAAAGCATTTTATTAGCTTTAGGAAGCGGAATGGGAACTTCAGCATTTTCTTTCGCATTAAATACATACTTTTTAAAAAGGAGAAGTAAAGCTTTAGGTATAGCCTTGTCTATTTCTGGTCTAGGACCAATATTTATGCCTCAATTAGTAACTCACTTATTAAACCTCTACGGTGATACTGGAGCTGTATTGATCCTTGGAGCTGTAGCTTCTCATGTATTTATTGCAACTGCACTTCTTCAACCTGTCGGATATCACATGAAAACTGTTGAAGAAGTGGAAGATGTTCAAGAAATATCAAAATCTGAGCTCGAAAAACCGTTACGTGAAAGACGAGGTATTTTAACTACCTATATTATAACTAATTAAGCCTAAGTAAATGATTTAGAATAATATAAAAGTAAGTATGTAAACACTTATTTTAAATTTTTCTATAATACACATTAATTTCTAAAAATTTACCTAGTTACTGTTTGAAACTCTTCCAATTGTAATTTTGAAACGGCGTGAGCTTTCACGGTTGATGTTCGTTGTTAAGATATATCTTTTCGGCCTTGATGAATATAGTCTAAGAATTCCTCTTTAGATGGTTCCTAGGTTGAGACCGTTTCTCCAACCTTTCTATTTAAGTTCAAATGCCTTAAAACGGACTGAGATCGTATGTTCGGCCCAGCAATAATCCTTTTGGATGCTTGCCACAAATTACCGATGAAATGGTAAAAAAACAACTCCAATCGAGGAACCAACTAATCTTGAGGACTTCAAAACCATAACCACTAAATTCGGAAAGCAGTTTCTTAAAGATGTCAGTATTGCTTAAATTGCCACTCTATTAGATTTTATTAATCACTTCCGAGCTGTTTAATACTAACGACACTATTTTTTAAAAAGTTATGACAAGCTCACATGTATGACAGAAAGTTTCCGCATCTCAGACAATTATTGTGTCGGTAAATAGAAAAAATTATGCTTGGAAGAAAGAAAACGTAAGTATCAGATTAAATGTACAAGACCAAGACTTAATACGTAAGATCGAGACTACGTCACCAAGACTTTTGCTCATCATTAAAGATAATCCTTATATTGAAATTATTTTTGGAAACTAATAAAAAACGCAAGGGAAAAAACCCCTATCATGTCAAAACGCAACGTAACATTGTTTTACTATTACTATAGTGTTATCTAATTTTGGTATATTAATAGCGTTAATATTTCTACAGCAAGTCATCCGGGGCATCGACCGCCCAGAAAGACATCAATTACAAAATCTTCCTTATCTATTGACCATGATATTGACTCTTCGTCAATTTACGGATTTGATTCGCAAAATTTAAGCCGAAGCAGAGCATCCTTGAACTTTGGTAGCAAAAAATCGTTCAAATTATAAACAAAAAGTAACTTGAACAATTTTCTAGCAGATACTACTGCAGATCAAAAACAAAGCAGGTACAATTCGTATTCATCCCTTGCGTCTGTCGATGAAGGCACAACGGACATAGATAACCTTGGAAATGGCAAATTAGAAATAGTTTCCGAAAAAGTTGAAGTAGAAGATGATAATGAATCAGGAAACGAAAAAAAAGAGAAAGATGACAATGCATTGGTTTTATGTCTAAAATATATTTTAGACATTTTTGATTTGAATTTATTAACTGATCCTGTGTATGTTAATATAATGTTGGGAATGTCGATAGCAATATTTTCGGAGATCAATTTTTCGATGCTGACAGCTTTGATACTTACAGAGTTTGGATTAAGTACTGACAGAGCAGCTACTTTTATGTCTCTTTTAGCAATTGTTGATTTGATTTTTCGATTTTTATCTCCTTATATAGGTGACTACTTAAACAAACCTCCAAGAATAATGTACATGATAAGCTTAGTATTTCTGGCAGCAACAAGATTTTGTAAGTAATATCCGTAATATACAACAAGGTATTAAAATAATAAAATTGTAGAATTTTCTAATCTTAGCAAAGGGTAAGACGCCATAAGCAACTATGCGCAAGAATTTAGAATATATTAAACATCGATATGTTTTGTATAAATATAGAAAAATTTGAACAATTACGATTGAAGTGTAACCTTAGATCATCCAGATGATTCCTGAGCCAACAATATTTTTTAACCAAAATTTAGAGTAGATATATGGGGTTAGTTTTGGCTAAATGAATATACGTACCTACAACTAAAATGACCACTGGAGGCATGAAACTTTTTGTTAATTTTCGTTTTGAAAACTTTTTGTTACATATCAAATACTTTATTGATGATGTCATTAATGGTTTTCATAACTAGTGAGCGAGTACTTATTATTAAAAAATACTTAAAGGATATAAGATGAAGTTTTTCCGGGCTAGGGAGCCGTGGTCGTGGAATGTTGATTTCTTCTAGACATTTCGTTCGAAGCTGCGCCGGATTACTACAAAGCTACAGCCCATGTCAATTTGTTTGAATTGTGAAGAAATCTGCGCGAAGATAGAAAGAATACACACTAGGCGTGAGCAAGACAGAAATAGTCGGAACAAGCTTGAACGAGCAGAACTCTCTATGGGCGGTCTTAGGAGATCGGCTAGAACTGTACAGTACTAAACGAAAATAATTAACAATTTCTTAAAACAAAAATGTTTATAAATTAAGAATAGAAAACAAAGCAAAAGTTTTAGAGGTGTGTAGAACGTTAAGTTAATTCACTTGTTATTGTTTTTGGCTAAATATGTTTTTAAATAAAGCATATTCTTAAATTTTAACGAGGCAGTTTAAATAATTTTGCAAATGGTACTGTACACTTTTGTCTAGCTCTCGCTCAATGATCGGTGAAGGAATGAGCTACGCAGACAAATATGATTGAATTTGGAATTATGCTACGGCACATCCTAATAAAGGGAAAGGGCATATCTCCAACTTCTTGAAACAAACAGTACTATCGTCGTCTCCATTGAAAATGTTCGGCGCAGCTTCGAACGAAACGTTTGGATGAAATCAACTTTCACTTGACCACTGCTCTCTAGCCCGGAAAAACTTCATCTTATAGACTCCGGCCGTGGAAGCCTCCAAACTTGAAGGATACATGCAATTTTCTATAGAGAGTATATTGAAATGTCCAAAAATGACGATGGAGAATGCCATTGCATTCAATTGATCCTAAAGGAACCCGAAACAATCCCAATCTCAACATTGAAAAAAATATATTCACGATTGAAAATATGATTTTTCGTTTATCTTAATAATGATACATCAATTCAAATTTTGTGTTTTCTTTGCCTCACACCGTCATAAATAATTGAGTATTGAAAACTATATACTAATAAATATTCTGAGAAAAATTAAAATTAAAATTTGTTAGTTATGTTAATTATTCGCGCTCTTATTCAGTGGTCATTCTAAGTATACGTAAACTTGTTTAATCAGAACTGACCTCATATGAATCTAAATCTCTCCTGAATGTTTAAAAAATATTAGTAGGAGAGATAGTCAAAAGCCACACTTCTATGATACGTTAAGCCCATTTCGAAACTTCGCCCAGACGCAATTGATGTTTATGGCGTCTTATCCTTTGAAAAGCTATGTCTCATTAGAATCTCCTCAGCGACGATACATTCACAATTTGTTAACATCAAAGATGCACTAATTAATACAGTGGCGTAGCCTAAGGGGGGGCAAAGGTGGCTATTTGAGTTGAAATTAACTATTTTGTTGAGATATACAAATCTTGTATCATATAGAAAAGATTACAAAATTTCTTTGTTATACAAGCGACTCGACTTTTACCCATGTAGCGTCTCTAGATAGAACAACTGCTGAAATTTATTAACTTCTCAATCATGGGTAGGTGTTTGTAAAGGATTCGAAAACAAAAATCGTAGACTTCTTAAAAAATATTTATTTATTATTTTGTAATGGGTACTCTGACCGTACTTTTATTTGCCATTGTAGTGATCGTGAAAGCCTTCGATTTGAATCAAATATAAGTAGTACCCAACGTATATATGTATCTATTTAAGTATGTAAGGAAAGCTATTTGTAAATAAGCTCATATATTTTCAGTTTTCGCTGATAATAAACGCTACTTATCTCCTCAAGGGCTAAATTAAAAATATAAATTCTTTGTACACTTTTTCACTGCAATCCCGTCCAATTTAAGTAAAAGATAAGTAAATAAGAAGGGCGGCAAATTTAGGCTTCGCCCCAGGTAGGAGAAATTCACACTACGCCACTGCACTAATATACAAAGCATAAAAAGCATAAATAATTGAATTTATTTTTTCTTATTTTTTTCAGTTCAATTGTAGAATTTTGTGTTATATTGTATTGAAATAAAACGCTAATAACAATTTCACATAAAACTTTCGTAGGTCTTTAACTAATAGACTTGACTATGTCTATGATGAGACCTTGGTATGGAAAGCGTTTTATGCTAAATTTTACATTATACTCTCTTATTTAGTTCAGTTCATGCCTTTAATCTTTATTTTTAGTTGTTAGTTCGATAGTATCCTATTTGTTACTGCAAAGAAGTCTTTAATTAATATTTTGTTTTGATTGATATATTATATGTATGTACATATCTTCTAGTGTTTATAATAGTACGAGGATATCCCTTATTGTTGGTCTCTGCTGTTGGTTTAGGAGTGGCGAAAGGACTAAGAACCATATATATGAATCTTGTGATTCCAGCGTATGTGCCGCTAGAGAGATTACCTGGAGCTTCTGGCATTCAAATGGTAACCAATGGCGTTTTTTTCATTTTAGGAGGTCCGTTCTTAGGTATGAATATGTTTTACGACTACTTTTTTGCTATTAAATACGATTTGGCGAAATGTGACAACTTATTAAAATAAAATTCAGTGTGCTACCCAATTTTGAAATTAATTAATCAATACAACATTAATTAATAAGTAACTTAATTTTAAGATTGGGAATCAAGTTCAGTTTGTCCTACAGGGAGTGAAAACAATTTAAAATTCAAATGTGGGGCGACAGTCGACTGATAGGCCTCCCAATTTTGAAATTAATAAATTATTTATTNCTATAGAATGTCACCTCAAGGTAGGCCTAGTGGCGTCATCTCTTGGTTAGGCCGGAAACTTATCAATCCACCCTCGTATGTATCTATTTAAGTATGTAAGGAAAGCTATTTGTAAATAAGCTCATATATTTTCAGTTTTCGCTGATAATAAACGCTACTTATCTCCTCAAGGGCTAAATTAAAAATATAAATTCTTTGTACACTTTTTCACTGCAATCCCGTCCAATTTAAGTAAAAGATAAGTAAATAAGAAGGGCGGCAAATTTAGGCTTCGCCCCAGGTAGGAGAAATTCACACTACGCCACTGCACTAATATACAAAGCATAAAAAGCATAAATAATTGAATTTATTTTTTCTTATTTTTTTCAGTTCAATTGTAGAATTTTGTGTTATATTGTATTGAAATAAAACGCTAATAACAATTTCACATAAAACTTTCGTAGGTCTTTAACTAATAGACTTGACTATGTCTATGATGAGACCTTGGTATGGAAAGCGTTTTATGCTAAATTTTACATTATACTCTCTTATTTAGTTCAGTTCATGCCTTTAATCTTTATTTTTAGTTGTTAGTTCGATAGTATCCTATTTGTTACTGCAAAGAAGTCTTTAATTAATATTTTGTTTTGATTGATATATTATATGTATGTACATATCTTCTAGTGTTTATAATAGTACGAGGATATCCCTTATTGTTGGTCTCTGCTGTTGGTTTAGGAGTGGCGAAAGGACTAAGAACCATATATATGAATCTTGTGATTCCAGCGTATGTGCCGCTAGAGAGATTACCTGGAGCTTCTGGCATTCAAATGGTAACCAATGGCGTTTTTTTCATTTTAGGAGGTCCGTTCTTAGGTATGAATATGTTTTACGACTACTTTTTTGCTATTAAATACGATTTGGCGAAATGTGACAACTTATTAAAATAAAATTCAGTGTGCTACCCAATTTTGAAATTAATTAATCAATACAACATTAATTAATAAGTAACTTAATTTTAAGATTGGGAATCAAGTTCAGTTTGTCCTACAGGGAGTGAAAACAATTTAAAATTCAAATGTGGGGCGACAGTCGACTGATAGGCCTCCCAATTTTGAAATTAATAAATTATTTATTCTAAAATTAAGCTTCTTGTGAAGCATTTTTTTAACCATATTTCTTTTTTAGGTTTTATAAAAGATATATCCGGTACTTACAGGAAATGTGTAGTTTTAATGAACTTTTTAACTCTTCTAACAGTTGTCATGTGGTCTCTGGAAATTATTATTGTCAAAATAAGATCGAAACGGAGTCTCGATTCCAACAGGATACATTAAAAAAAGTTTAGCATCAAACATAAACCATAGACTGCAAGGCTGTGATATTAAATATGTTTGTAGCATATAATTCAAATGTTCTTTATCACTAATGGTTTGTTCATTTTTATTAAAAAGAATTGACCTTTATTAATGCCTGATAAGTATGTAATATAAATATTAAGTAATGTTGTTGTTCAATATATGTATCATCTGTTTCTAAAAAAGGATAACTTCTGAAGCAAAAAAGTTGTGCAGTTTTAAATAGGTAGGTACCCAATTTATTGTTAGACACTGACACAAAAAGGGATGGATACAATGCTTGTAAAACAATTAAATATTTCCATAAAACAGGAACATATACGACTTTGCTAGAATACTTCAGTAGGCTCTTCTGGTGCAGTTGTCTATTGCGGGTCATCTCCTAAAATTAATGTAAATAATCATTAATAAAAACAAGTATAATTTCTGAATTTACTAATAGTTTTTAAATAAATCAATCTACTTACAGGAGTTATCGACAGGAGACGTGTACAAAAACAGAAAGAAATGTCTTGACTCCAAATAGTTTTTGAAGATATCTAACGTGTTCTCAATATTTTTAGCAATATTTAATCTCTTGCCTAGCTCTTGCACTGAAAGGAATGAAAAACAGAATAATTGTAGATGATTTAGATAATCATATGGCACAAAATGAATTTATTTTGTCACATATAGTAAATGGTAAATAAAGCAATCTTTGGATAATTTCCATATTTAATAAAAATATATCAGCTTTTATAGTGAAAGCGGCTTTTTCATTAGAACAGCTAAATTTTCTGGATTTTGATTGCGCCAGGGAATGTTTAAAACCATAGAAACCAAACACATTAAGCCTATATTGAAAATCTGGTCAGAAGTTGAAACAGTTAAATTTTAAAAGTAGATACATTTCAATTACAATAAGCGCGACTTAAAAAAAGAAAATTAACAATTAACGAATGTTTTCTCCGCAGCAAACAAAGCAAACTTCGTATATTGCAAGTTATTTTAGTTTTCCAAATGACCATTACACCCTTTAAATGATTCAAAACTAAGAAAAACAGATATTTTAACACCAGATTGTTATTTCTTTTATTGTTGCCATGAATTTCCGTCGAACAACGTCAGAATTAGTTATTTCAATCGGTTTGCACACTGGTGTTCCTAATTCATATATGTTTCATCCTTACTTATTTACCAGCAAAGAGAACGAATTCTGATTATTGTCAATCCTTGATACACAATTATAAATATTTGCTGTTGAATAGAATGGAATGCTTTCTTAAAGTTTTAAGCTAAATTTAAAATTTTGCTTTCTTAATATCAAACAAATTAAGTAGGTACCTGTAGTTTTGTTTGGATCAGATCTTCCAGTTCTCATCATGGGAATTAAGCTTTTTGTCATTGAGCGAATAGGTAACCATCTCCTGATTCTTCTTGAAATAAATGGAATTCTTGATCTACCAATTCTCGATGCGGAAATCAAGTTGCTCTCTGATCTGCCCGTCCTCATAAAGGGAATCAATCTATTATTTGACTTACTTCTTGTCAATGAAAGATTATCTGACCTATCAATTCCAATTGGCGGTAGTTTTGAACCTAAAGAAAAAATTTTGATCTTAAAACGGTTCCTACAGGACGGTTCCGTACTATTAATTTTGCTCACAAATTCCTAGCTGCATCTGTGAAGACATATATTGCTTTATTTTTATTAAATACTACTTGATGCATACATTACTTTTATGTTTATAAATATATTTANACTGTTTGAAACTCTTCCAATTGTAATTTTGAAACGGCGTGAGCTTTCACGGTTGATGTTCGTTGTTAAGATATATCTTTTCGGCCTTGATGAATATAGTCTAAGAATTCCTCTTTAGATGGTTCCTATAAGGCTAATGAAAAGGATGATCATCTTAAGGTCGACAGTCCTAAGACTGGTTGGGCACGCATCTCCACTGTTTCCTTTCCTGCGCTAATCTTCTCATTCCCCTAAAGCTTAAAAAAAAAACAAAAAGGGATTGAAATACAAGCCTAAAATGTTATTTATATAAATTATTAAATTAAATAATTTGGTTTGGTATTAAGAACACTAACTATAAACGCGTATAAACAGTTTAAATGATTACAATAAAACAATAAAGTAAATCAAAACAGACACTAATTTTCAAACTAGAATTTTCTTTTACTATTCGTTTAACTTGTGTGGTTATAATTTGATGAAATATAGAAATAGTTTCAATAAACTAATAAGAAGAATAAGACCAATGTCAAAAAATACAAAAGATCTTACGTGTTTTTGAATTAATTCTACCTCTCTTAAGAACGATCATTAATCCTAATTTAGCAACTTTATTACTATATTTGTAGACTTCGGGAGTTTGGGACTATTTTACAAATGATGCTTATTTATGTGAATTAGTTTTTTTCGTAGATATTTTAAATACTTACCTACAATAGATGCGCAAGTTATTGCATTTTTAGTCAATGGTAAACCAAGACATGTATCATCACCAAAAGTTATAATCAACAATATAGCACAAAAGTGAACAGACCAGTATGATATTGGTGTCATGTTTATTAAGTACAAAAATTAGTAAACTACGTGAAGTTCCTAGCTGACTTCAGTTATCACCAAATAGATGAGATGAAATTTATATTTATATTTTTTGAGGGTATGAAGTGCGCTCGCGTCGTGAAAGTATATATGTAAACATAGGTAGTTACAAAAAAAAACGGGTGTTATATATGAGTAGGTAGGCAGCTTCGGACGACCAATAACTTTTGGGGATCTTAGTATATCAAATACTTTAAACGACCAGACCAGACAGGTGTATACTTACATCTACTCGAATTTATTTTATTTTAAAATGTAAATAACCCATTTATTAATCGAAGACCATCATATACCAATAACAAAAGACATAAAAAAGTATGTAATTATATTTTTGTGCCTACGCGTATATATGTAAACTTATAAGGAAATTAATCTGTTTAAATTTCATTATGCTGTATCTGCGTTTGTCAGCTTAATTAAGATTTCAAGAAATAACTCACGCACAATAAGCGTTCACTGGAAATGTTTCAACTGCTGTCTAGTACTGCTACATAAAAAAAGATAATGTTATAATGATTACCTAAATCACAATAAAAAAATCAAGATTGTCATCTGAACGCCATAGGGTTTCGCAGCCGTCATCACCGCCTAATAACTTCCTTTTCTTAAAATAATTTTAATCGTAGGCATTATCAAGGTAAATTCCATTTCTTACCAACTTCAATGTATTATTTCAATGGTCGAAACCGAAACAAGGACAGAAGACACTTTATTTGTGGCTCGTAAAATCAAACGTTCCGGCTTTTAGAAGAATGTTTTTTTAATCAGTGCAGTTTACCTTAAAAGCGTAAAGCGAATCGTTGCTGAACGACGTAATCTAATAGTTTGACCACTGCTTAGCCTTCGGGAGAGCTTCGGTTCGATTCCCCATGTCTGTCTAACCTGGTCCAACCTTTTCTGTGGATTGTCGGTTCGATTCCCCACGTCTGTCTAACCTTCTGTGGATTGTCTGGGTAATATTCCACAGATATTTTTCAACTCTCTCTCTCCGGTTGGTTCGTCTCGCCTGTCTCTCCCTAGCAACCACCCACCCATTCCCACAATTCCTCAATAAAGTCTGGCGGCTGAAAAGGATCTTCCATCCTACTCTCTGCCTTTGCACCCGAATGTACGTCAGAGGGACTATCTGTCTGTCAGTATTAGTAGGAAGTTCAAGAACATTTACTGCAAATCCTACAATATTATTTCACCACACAATGACTTCATCACAGGAAGTCGTAGTCTAGAAGTATTTATGGGAATTACCAAGTATACTATAATTAATTCAATTTCCATTTCATCCCTTTATTGTTACAAGCAAAATAAATAAACCAATACTAACGTTTTTTTTTTGGATTAAAGGTTTTATCGTGGTAGGCTTTTAAGTCTATAATTTTTTCTTCCTCTGAAAATAGTACCAACATAGTATAATTCTGAAGATATAAAAGTATTCGTTCGTACAACAAATTAGTTAAATAAAAATAAATAATAACTTATGTAAATAATTAAAAACTATTTGGAAACAAATATATTTCTCATGTAAATACCATAGATAAAATTAATAATGCATTAAAAGCATTTTAGGAAAAAATCATTTTAATAATTTATCACTCTATTAAATACTTTTGTATTGTATGAATTAATATTTTCACTTACGTCCTAAGAATTACACTAGACCATTACAGACTCAAAAAACCTACCTTGATAAAGTCTCTTCACCAAAAGGCGACACAGTGCTATTGGTCTGGGAGATAAACTCGTTTCTATCTTTATTTTGGTTTTGGCTCTACATGCACAACAACTACACGCACAAAAATTATTATTATTTAATAAAGGATTATTAATTATTGACTTTCCATTGTCGATTTAAAGAAATCCCTAGCTTGTCATATTTAATTTCTAAATTTAATAGACCTTGGACAACTTTAAACTATCTCCTGATAGAAAGAATTATAATTGACTATTCTCTCCTTTCCTAAATAGAGATAAAAAAGAAGGTTGCATTCATTAATAAAAACAATGCGTACTTTGCAAAACCTTATTTATTTTTATACTTGATACAAAAAAGACAGTTATTTTATAGAATGCCAGAGGTCAGGGTTGGGTATCGGCGCAACTTTACATAAAGTTTATGAGTCCACATCAAACAGAAATTGGAGTTTTTGATGCAATAAGTTGAGTGGATCATCTTCTGAACTAGTTAGATGCAGACTGTCTTCTAATCCTAAAATGATTTATGATTTAAGTAGACAAAAACAGTATCCGGCATTATAAGGTTTTTATTTTTTAATAAACTGGCATGTTAATGACTAATATTACTTACGAGAATCCTCAGCAGGTGATGCATTTGAAGACAGAAAGGAATATCTGGTTTGAAGCCATTTGTTTAAGAGATCTGTCGTGTATTCTGCATCATTTCCATCTGTTAATCCTTCAGCTAGTTCTTGCGCTGAAAAGAACAAAAATTATAACAGCTTTAGAAAATTGTACAACGTGACCGATTATAACATTATTATAGTAATTAAAACAATAATCATCATCATCATAAAGTCGTCAGTCCTAAGACTGGTTGGGCACGCATCTCCACTGTTTCCTTTCCTGCGCTAATCTTCTCATTTCCCTAAAGCTTAAAAAAAAAACTTTGGGTGTTTCATTTCCACCAGCCAGTAATGCTGGTGGGCGGGCAGTCCCTCCGGACTATGCCGGAAGGTAGGGCGGAAGACCCTCTTCAGCCTGCTTCCAGGAATCGTGGGAATGGGTGGGTGGTGGTTCGGGTGAGAAAGTTGAGACGGACGAAATGAAGACAGAAGAGAAGGAAAGATTATCTGTGGAATATTACTGCCCGAACAGTGATCTAAGGAAACAGGCGTCCTCCCGAATGCTAAACAATGGTCTAAACCTCTAGGCCATGCCGCTCGGTCTAAAGCTTGAGCAACCCATATCCTTAACTATTTGCGAACAGTAATCTAACATATAGGTTTACCTCTACCTGTCCTAACTTCCGTTTCTGCCTCTAATATGTCTCTGACCAGACCTTAATACCTGAGAAGGTGTCTCACTAACCTATCTGGCCTATTTATTACTGACTTCCGTAGAGTCCTCTGTTCTATTACTCTTTCTAATACATCTTCATTTTTAACCTTCTCTATCCACGATATCCTAATCATTCGCCTGTAACACCACATTTCAAATGCTTCTAATTAAAACAATAGCAGAGTATTAAATAAGTAACTAATACTACTTATTGTTAAAAATTGTTTTATAACAACACGTACTTAACAGGTTAACCATTGGTTATCGGACACTGTATATGGTTTTGTATTTTTCATTGAGCGGAATGAAATACTTTTCTAAAGAATACTTTGTTTAATTTAACTAAAAAAGGTCACCTGTAGTTTTATTTGGATCAGATCTTCCTGTTCTCATCATGGGGACTAAGCTTTTTACCATTGATCGACCGGTTCTCATAATTGGTATCAATCCTGAAAACGATCTTCCAGTTCTCATTACCGGAATTAACGACGTTATTGATCTACCCGTTCTCATGGCTGGAATCAAACTGCTCACCGATCGACCTGTTCGCATGACTGGGATCAAACTGCTTGTGGATTTACCTTTTGGTAGAAAAAAGTCATGCGACCTCTCAACTCTAGTCGACGATATTTTTGGGCCTAATGGAAAAAGAGTGGTGCTATTAGTAATTTCTATGTAAATTAAAAGGAATATTAATTGTGATTTTTAGTATTTATACAAGAGATGGGACAGGTACCTGACAGTATGGTGCCCATGTATATATATACAGCAATGCTGGGTAATCTAACCATCGCGAAAAAAGGAAAACACCACTAATAATAATAAATATAACGAACCCATGCAATTTTAATTATGATGATTTCGAAAATAAAAACAGCATTACGTCAATTTGGTATTGAAGTCTATAAAATAATCACTCTATAAAATAATTGGTATCAATCCCATTCAAAATAACTTTAAATTCAGTGAAATGAATGTAAAAAGGCGTTGTGCAATTACTTACATTGGTTTAGAAAATGTATAAATTTTTTACTTTAAAGTTTCAGAAGCATGTAAATTGTACGCTAAAATTTTAAAAAAAGTCGTTCAAGAAAGTCCTCTGATTATTTATGAATGTTTTCAGCTACAGATTAGAGAGAGAAATGATATAAAAACTGAAGACAAAAATATTTTTTTAACATCAATAATTTTTTTATTCACTTCTAGTTATCATCAATTTTAATTTTGTTCGTGTTATTGTGCAATATTAGTTTTTGTATCAACTTACTACCACCACTACCTTCTGTATTAAATCAATTGATTTAGTTTGTAGTTCTTAGTTAGTTTGTACTACCTCTTACGCACAGAAGGATTCTCCTTCTCTGTGGTCGACAATATGTTATTATATGTATTGTTAAGGCTGATTAAATAAATAAATAAATAGCACTAATAATTATTTATTATGTAAATATTATCCTCAAAAAAGGACATTTCTATTTTATCTACCTCAATGGGATTAAATTCAGATTTTAATAACTGGTCTCACTGTGCTGGTTAAAAATTTGGGCCCCGTTGGTGCAACTTACACTTTGCATTTTATAATTTACGTCGCGTTTATTAAATATTAACGTATTCAAGAAATAAAACGGTGCCGATTTTCAGAAAGAAACATGAGAGTTGCTATTTGAAAAGTATAGATGTTCTATTACACTATTCATTTGGATGAATGTGGATATAGGGGCCGTTCAAGTTTTACGTAAGCAGATTTTTTGCAATTATTAACCCCCTCTCCCCTCGACAGCAAAAGTAAGCAAAGTTCTTACCCCCTCCCGTGCTTACGTAAGTATCGTTACATGCATTTTTCAATGTGTTCTGGTGTCTTTATTGATTCATGAACAGCAGTTATAAGTACCTGAAAATGCGTTTCGTTTTCAAGCAAATTTTGTAGAAAATCCGAAAAAGTAAAAAAAAAATAAATGATGCTGACGTTTTTTCTGGTTTTTACTAAATAAATAAATAAATAATCACCATCCAGACTTCCCCAACCACCATGACATCGAAAATAAGCAAAATAAAGACCCCGCCCCCCTGTAGTGGTTACGTTACTTGAATGGTCCAATATACATATGTAAGTAATTTTAAAACATTATATTTCATCAGTGGAAAACAACTCCACCCACCAATATGAACACATGGTATATTATAGATATATTAATTTTTAGTTCAATCAATGAATTAAAGTTTGCAGTCGATGATAAGCACATAATCGCAATTAATTGTAGGACTTTCAACATACGCTTACGATTTGTTTAAGACCTTTAACCAGAAAATAGACTATTTCACTTATTTAAGTTTAGAAATGAAACTTATTTAGGTGAATTTAGTTTTTCAACTTTGATGTATTAAATATTTACCTTCAATAGATGAGCAAGCTATTGCGTTTCTGGTCAAGGGTACACCAAGACATGTCTTACCATTACCAAAACTTATTACCAACAAAATAGCACAGAAGTGAACAAGCCAGTGGAACATTCGCGACATATTTGTAAAAAACAGGAGTTAGTGATCTTCGTCAAGTTTCTGATACTTGGATGCTTCTAATCTGATGAGATCAGATTTATACCCTTTTTCCCGGATTTGAAATACGCCTGCGTTGTAAGAGTGTCTGTATAAACCACCCTCACATAATTACGAAAAGACATACGATGTTAATAAACATTAGCTAATATGTGATTAGGGTGATTAGGTAGGCAGTTTCAAACGAGCAATATCCTGTGCTTGTAGAGTAATTGAGAGAAAAGTTGAGGAACTTAACGTTAGTATGACTTGCTAGTATCCCAAAATGCGATGAAATGTTGACAATCTCTTAAATGGAATATACCTATTACTAAAATGAACATGCGAGAGTGTAAACCAGCCGGGTTTATTAAACTTTGAGAAGATAATACACTAATTTTATTTATAAATGAGGTATGAAATCTAAGGCCATTACATGTGAATAAAAAAAATTAAAAGAATCAATTTTGTCATGTACCTGAATTAAAGTAGTATAACATTATATTATTTGGCCTTTTCTCCTCGTGATTTACCAAAAGACAGGTCGAAAAGGATTAATAAATAATCGTACAAGCATTCTGTTGCTTTAAAGACACTGGAAGAACTTCATCAACCTGGAACGTTTGTTGATTTTATTTGAGATTTTGAAATTTGGATGAACAAGGCATTTCATCGGCTTCTCTTTCAGAAGTTAATTGGAATGTTTCTGACGAAAACGCAAACACTGCTAATAACCACTTTCATTGAATCATTAAACGACAGTTAGCTAAAAGAATTGCTTGATAAATAAACGCAATTGCTAGACCTTAAAAAGTCGGAAAATGTTGTCGGTGAAGACGAAATGATCCAGAAGTGGCCGGCCAACCCGTGGCCCGCAAGCCGCACGCGACCTGTCATCTGGCCCGGCAGATTCATCATAGTTTTACAAAATATATTTATTTTATAATAATGAACATATGTATTATTTGTGCATCCATATATTTAAAAATTATCTTTCGAAATTAAGAGAAAAAGTTAAGTTTGATTTTAAAACAATATTCTTGTGAATATATGACAAATATTGCTTGTTTATTAATAAATTTACAGTTACGAGTTCAAAAAAATATCTACAGCAGCTCTAAATGGAAATATATATACTTTAATTCCAAAGTGGACCGCAAAATCATTTCAGTTGGTCACCCCACTGTGGTCTCGAAACAAAACCATTGCTGTAAGACTGTGGAATTAATAATTTTATCTCAAATTTTTATTGCCTTCATAGATGAAAAACGCGGATAAACGTACCACATGGCTAGGCGGTACCCTGTACTCGGCCCGTAAACATTTGGGGCACCCCTGCCCCGGCAAAAATAGTACTGGTTGGGATCAAATTTTCATTTCATTTCATTATTTAGATAAACTAATAAGAAACAACGTTTATTTTTTGTATATTTAGGTAGGTACCTCATGCGATCGCATTTATTACTGTTTATTATTGGAGATCGTTATGTGATTTATTTAAAATACTTGCATTTAAAATGCAAATACAAAATAAAAAATACCTATTTTTATTTTGCATTTAAATACTTTTTTTCGAAACGTATTTTCTATTTGTAAAATGCAAAATACATTTTCGCTGTTAAAAGTTTTGCTAGTATNGAATTAACACAACGGAATGCAATGAAAAACAAAATCCTAACAAATTTAAAAGTTATTCAGTGCCGCATTGCTACTGACAATTACCGTTACTTGTTCAAAGAAAAATTTGATGTTATTGTAAGTAATCCACCCTATGTACCTTCAAAACGCTTAACAGAGTTACAACCGGAAATAGTACTGTAAGTTTAAAATTGTTTATATATATACTTATACACATTTGGGGAGATTGTTAATATTTGCGATACAATCAAGGTGCTACAACACTACATTCAACTAGAAAAGCTCATTTATTATGGGAATTGGAAAAAAATTTAGTATACAAAATTTTAGGAATTTTTGAGTGAAATTATTTCTTGACACAGAAATACACTTTTTTGAATGGTACCTATACACCTTGTCTATTGTTTAACTTTTGAATTAGGTGCCTTTTTTTAATAATCACCTTATACAAAGGGCCCATATCAAGTGATTCAAGATTTAGTTGTCATTTCAACTAATAATAGGGCTTTATTTGACGTCAACTCTAATCAGTTTACTATGTAAACACCTTGTAAACGTATTCTTTGTTAATTTTTTTTTATTAATAGTGTACAAGGCGAGTCTAAGTTCCGGATTACAATTTTGTCGATAAATTTAAACAGAACACCTTGTATATTAAGGTCAATATAGTTATCTCTATTAACGCTCTTTCAGTTTTGCAGCCAATGCAATCCAATAAAAAATGAGTTACATATACAAATGTAAGTATAATTGAAAAGGTATGTCAAGAGGAGGCGCCAGCGTCCACTTTTGGTTAGCATGATTTTGTTATTATGAGTAGCGGCTTTTAATAAACAATTTTGTGTCATCTCTAACGACAAAATAATATTGCATCCATTTGCATTTAAGTCTCGTTAATGAATAAAATATGACGTTAATTCGATCGTCGTTTCCTTCATTAAAAAATAAAGATCGTAGTTTTTATTTTATATTATTATTTTAAATTTTATCTGTATGTTTTATATACGCGTATGCATTTATTTCTGTCCCCACCTTCTTCCTCAGCCAAAACATGCCTGCTATTATAGTAGAAATCGTTATAGTAGAAAACGAATAGCAAACTTGTAGCTGGTGTAAAAATTTATCTCTGTATTTCATTTAACTTATAAGTTACGAAATTCATCATAACAGATCTAGTATGTTAAAACCAAGCAAAACAAAACATTTTACGAATATATTCAAGAAATTATCATCTCTTATTTTTAATTTTCGTTCTATTGAAATCGATCCCATAATGCGTTATGGTTCGGCCATGGTCAATACTAAGCTTCATTGTTCCAGTGGCGTCTCACAAGGGCCAACTTTAAAGGATGTATTTAATTTCTGGATTAATAAATTAAAGAACAATAAAATTTCTGAACCAAAACAATCTGTAAATATAATATTAGCCCACGTTTTAAAACTAAATAAGGTAATTTATTGTGCTGTGTAAAGTTTAAAAAAACCTTTAATATTCCAAAGAAAAATATTTTTTTTTAGTTATCAGATATTGTTAAACTCTCTAAAAATAAAGTGTTAAATAAAAGCGAAGTGGCTGAAATCAACCGACTATGCAGACAACGATTAACACGGTATGTACATGTGTAAGGGGTAGCTATATGAATGTAGTAAATGTCTTGATTGAAAGAGGAGGTATTCCTGAGTAAACCACCATAAAAAGCTCGCGGCGGTCACACCCCCATAAAAGTTATGGGGTTGCAAATTTCTGTAATTTTCCAATTTCCATACACTATAAAGTCTAATAAAATTTAATAGATTGGTTATTATTACTAATTATCCAACATTTATAATATCGATAGTTAGTAAAGAGCCAAAAAAACAATTAAAAAAAACATATTTAGTGAGTTTTGCGATTCTATTATCTTAAAACCAATTACAAATATTTAAATNAGTAAAAAAAAAATAAATGATGCTGACGTTTTTTCTGGTTTTTACTAAATAAATAAATAAATAATCACCATCCAGACTTCCCCAACCACCATGACATCGAAAATAAGCAAAATAAAGACCCCGCCCCCCTGTAGTGGTTACGTTACTTGAATGGTCCAATATACATATGTAAGTAATTTTAAAACATTATATTTCATCAGTGGAAAACAACTCCACCCACCAATATGAACACATGGTATATTATAGATATATTAATTTTTAGTTCAATCAATGAATTAAAGTTTGCAGTCGATGATAAGCACATAATCGCAATTAATTGTAGGACTTTCAACATACGCTTACGATTTGTTTAAGACCTTTAACCAGAAAATAGACTATTTCACTTATTTAAGTTTAGAAATGAAACTTATTTAGGTGAATTTAGTTTTTCAACTTTGATGTATTAAATATTTACCTTCAATAGATGAGCAAGCTATTGCGTTTCTGGTCAAGGGTACACCAAGACATGTCTTACCATTACCAAAACTTATTACCAACAAAATAGCACAGAAGTGAACAAGCCAGTGGAACATTCGCGACATATTTGTAAAAAACAGGAGTTAGTGATCTTCGTCAAGTTTCTGATACTTGGATGCTTCTAATCTGATGAGATCAGATTTATACCCTTTTTCCCGGATTTGAAATACGCCTGCGTTGTAAGAGTGTCTGTATAAACCACCCTCACATAATTACGAAAAGACATACGATGTTAATAAACATTAGCTAATATGTGATTAGGGTGATTAGGTAGGCAGTTTCAAACGAGCAATATCCTGTGCTTGTAGAGTAATTGAGAGAAAAGTTGAGGAACTTAACGTTAGTATGACTTGCTAGTATCCCAAAATGCGATGAAATGTTGACAATCTCTTAAATGGAATATACCTATTACTAAAATGAACATGCGAGAGTGTAAACCAGCCGGGTTTATTAAACTTTGAGAAGATAATACACTAATTTTATTTATAAATGAGGTATGAAATCTAAGGCCATTACATGTGAATAAAAAAAATTAAAAGAATCAATTTTGTCATGTACCTGAATTAAAGTAGTATAACATTATATTATTTGGCCTTTTCTCCTCGTGATTTACCAAAAGACAGGTCGAAAAGGATTAATAAATAATCGTACAAGCATTCTGTTGCTTTAAAGACACTGGAAGAACTTCATCAACCTGGAACGTTTGTTGATTTTATTTGAGATTTTGAAATTTGGATGAACAAGGCATTTCATCGGCTTCTCTTTCAGAAGTTAATTGGAATGTTTCTGACGAAAACGCAAACACTGCTAATAACCACTTTCATTGAATCATTAAACGACAGTTAGCTAAAAGAATTGCTTGATAAATAAACGCAATTGCTAGACCTTAAAAAGTCGGAAAATGTTGTCGGTGAAGACGAAATGATCCAGAAGTGGCC